AGGGGACATTTGGCAATGAGTGCAGACATTCTGATCTTCATGACTGGGGAGGGTGCTACTAACATCTAGGAAATAGAAGCCAGAGATGCTGCTGGGGGAAGCTGAGTGAAAGGTATATTGAACTATCTGCACTATTTTTGAAACTTTCTGTGAGTCTAAATTATTTCAAAATTAGAAGTTAATACATAAAAATAGAGTTCAGCAAATGCCTTGAGTGGGAATCCTCTGCATTTTGAGCATTTTTCTCTGAGCTTTTATTATTTCAATATCTTGACCTTTTAAGATCCACTTGTGTTAGACGTTCCAAAGTCAATTTTTTCTCTCCAGCATGGTGAAGTGACAACCAAATTCTCTACTGAATGATACGAACCTCAGCTGTAGCCTTCTGCTTGGATTCTCAGTCTCTTGCTTGGCATCAAGAATTGGCAAATGCAGCCTTCACTTCTTTCGCTGAGTTTCTCTTCTCCCCAAGGTCATGGCCCCTTGAGTCCTGGCAAGTCCAACAAGCATTTTAAAAAAATTAATCGAGATTTCCTATTTGTGTGCAGTGAGACCACTGATCTTCCACAAACTATGCAATCATGGCTGAAAGTAGAGTCTCATTGCCATTTTATATAACAGCTTTATTGGTGCATAGTTTACATAACATAAAGTTTGCTTGTTTAAGTATACAATTCAATAATTTTTTAGTTTATTTACCGAATTATGCAACCATAACTATGATCCAGTTTTAGAACATTTTCTTCACCCCCATGCATTTTAATGCCCTTTTACAGTTCATCTTTGTTTCTGTCATAGCCTCACACAACCACTTACTTATTAATACTTTTTCTGTCTCTAGAGATTTGCCCTTTCTAGACTTTTCATATAAATGCAGTCATACCATATGTGGTCTGTTGTGACTGGGTTCTTTCCCTTAGTATATTTTTGAGGTTCATCTACTTAATAGCATGTGTCAATACTTTTGTTTCTTTTTGTTGCCAAATAGTCTTTATTGTGTGGATATACAATATTTTGTTTATGCATTCATCAATTGATAGACATTTGGATTGATTCCACGTTTTGGCTGTGGATAATGCTGCTATGAACACTGGTGCACAAGTAAGTATTTGTGTGAACATATCTTTTCATTTTCCTTGAGTGAATACTTAGGAGTAGAATTGCTGGATCATAAGATAAATCTACTTTTAACTTTTTCAGAAAATGCTAAACTCTTTTGTAAAGTGGCTGAACCATGTTGCATTCCCACCAACAATGTGCAAAAGTATCAATTTCTCCATATTCTCACCCAAACATGGTATTATCTGACTTTTCAATATAGTGATCTTAGATGGCATGAAATGGTACCTCACTATAGTTTTAATTTATATTGACCTAATGATTAATAATATTGAGCATCTCTTCATGTGTTTATTGACCATTTTGTTATCTTTTGGGGGGTAAATTTCTATTTGAATATTTTAGCTTTTTTTTTTTTTTTTTTTTTTTTGACAGGATCTCACTTTGTGGCCCAGGCTGGAGTGCAGTGGTGCAATCATAGCTTGCTGCAGTCTTGATCTCTTGGACTCAAGAGATGCTCCCACCTCAGCCTCCAGATTAGCTGAGACTACAAGCAGACAGTAGCATGCTTGGCTAATTTTTCAAATTTTTTGTAGAGACAAAATCTCACTATGTTGCCCAGCCTCATCTAGGACTCCTGGGATCAAGTGACCCTTCTGCCTTGATCTCTTAAAGTCTAGGATTAGAAGGTATGAGCCACTGTGCCCGGCCCTTTTGCCTAGTTTTAATTGAACTATTTATCTTCTTAGTAGTAAGTTATGAGATTTTTATATGCTTTTAGATACTCTGGATACAAATCTTTTTTAGAATATATGATTTGCAAATATTTACTCCCAGTCTGTGGCTTGTCTTTTTACTCTATTAATGGTATACATTTGGAAGTGAAAAGATTTTAGTTTTGACTAAGTTCAATTTATCAACTTTTTCCTTTATCACTTGTGCTTTTGTTGTTTATCTAATAAATCTTTGCTTAAACAAGGTCACAAAGATTTACTCCTATGTTTCTTTAAGGAGTTTAAGAGCCTTAGCTCTTACATTTTGAATTAATTTTTGTGTGTGGTGTGAGGCAAGGGTCTACCAAAGTCCACCATTTTCCATATAGGTATCCAATTGTTTCAGCATCATTTGTTGAAAATCTTTCCCAATTAGATTGCCCCTGCTTGATTTTTTAAAGTAGGATTTTCACTTCCATTTTATTTTCTAATTTGTTGTCCTGGCATAAAACAGACACCTATTGATATATTATTTTAATTTTTATTTAACCACTTTATTAAATCATCTTAACTTGATTTTTTTATACAGTAAAAATAATCTCCAACTAATGATAATTTCATATATTCCTTTCTAATAATTGTATTCTGCATATATTGTTATCTTATTTCATTGATTTCGGATTCCAGAGTGATACTGGAAAAAACAAACAGATTAATTTGGTCATTCTATCTTATTCTTGACTTCACTGGAGTATCTTTAGTATTTCACCATTTAGCATAAAATATTTGGTGTGAGTTTTGGAAGATATTCCCTGAACTGTTTAGGAAATTTCTTACTAGCCTAATTTGCTATCTATTATTAAAAACAGGAAAAACTATTAAATTCTATTTAGTGCTCTTCTTTTTTTTGCATCTGATGAAATTCTTATGTGAATTTTCTCTTTTTAACACTCAGTATAATAAATCATGTTAACAGACATCCTAGATTTGATTTACTTAGTGTGGAATAAACTCACTTTTTCAGAGTATTGTCCTTTCTTTACTTTGTCAGATTCAATATATTAATACTTAGAATTTCTTTAACCGATGTTAATAAGTGAGGTAAAACTATACTTTTCAGTTTTTCCTACATTTATCCGGCTTTGTTTTTAGTACTATGTTTGCTTCACACATTTATTTGGAAGGTTTCCCATATTTTTCTACACTATAAGAGTTAAAATGACAGAAGAAACTATGTATTTTTTTAAGTTGATAAATAATCTGGGCCTGAAGGCTTTTTGTGATAGACATTTGATACGCTTTTAAATTTCTTTTAAAATGATTGATATAATAGGTTTTTCATTGTCTCCGACTTTTTGGAGATAAGTTTGGTAAAGATGCTTCCTAAAAGTCTTTTATTTCATTTGGTTTGTATGTTCTAATGATTGGCATGATACTACGCATGTTATTTGTTAGAATTCTAACATTTTTATGGTTACCTGTTTATTATCCTATTTTCCTATTTTGTTGTTGTAATGTATAGTTATATTCTTTCCCTCAGATTAGTTTATTGTCTATTTTATTAGTCATTCCAAGGAACTTCTGTTTTGCTGTTCATTAATTTCTGGTACTTATTAACTTTTACATCTTCATATTGCTACTCTTTAGTACGTAACACTTGCTTAAAAGAAGTTTGTTGAATGAATAAATGAAATCAAAACACCTTTTCCTTGGGGAATATAGGAACTCAAGAAGGATGTTTTTAAAATGGAGAAAATGGTAGAAGCAGAGAAGCAGAAAAAGTGATGTGTAAGCAATTCTAAATCTCCAGACATCAACCCCCAAGTTAGCTTCATATCTAAACTTTTAATAAACTTTAATAAATAAAATAAATAAACTTTTAATAAATCTTTCCTTTTGCAGAACGGTGCACATTTTTTACCATATAAGAATCAAATGTTGCATCTATTTCGATGTTTACATTGCTCTTGTTTTGAAAAATACCCAATCAAATCATCATTTATAAGTAGCGTTACTTGAAAAGCATTCAAACTTTTGGAGAAATTCCCAAGGACCTTGGAATTTGGAAACAATAAATATTCTGCCGCGGGTAAGGCACATTTGAAATGGAATCAAGCATGATAATGCAACGAAGCTGCGAAGGAAGGTCCGTGCTTGTTTCTCTGCCAAGTCAAAACTTCATCGCTCATGATTCAGTGGCCTCACACTTCTCAGCTCCCCTTCAGCCTCTGGAAAAATGGCATTTGCAGCTGTCTCCCTGACCTCAGGGCGAGGAGAGGAAGAAGGACCCGGAATCCTTGCCTGCCCAGGAACAGGGGGAGGCTGCCACGTTCTGTGCCCTTATTGCTAACTCCTGGCTGCCCACTGATGCACCCCGACAAAGCCTCTGCTGGCTCACGTTTCCCGTTTTTGGCGTTACCAAGAAATAACCTTTTGCTTTGTCTCCATTTCCAGAGTCCATCTTCAACTTCCCCGAGACGCTTTCAAGGGCAGGGCAGGGGTCAGGAGCCAGGGCAGCCTCAGTGGGTGCTTCAGCCCTGACCCAGGCCTCAGAGCTGTCAGGGCACCAGCAGCTCCCCTCTGCAAACCTCTCTATGGGGAATGCTAATCTAAAATAATTTTCTCTCTTTCTCTCTTTACAACTGAAGAAAAGTACTTCTTAGAGCGAGCCTAACTACCTACCTTTAATGTTTTATAGTCCGGGAAAATGGTACAAAGCAACATGTTTAAGTAGTTCCTTTACTAGAGTTGATAGAATCCTAAAATCTCAAGGGCCTCTGGAAGGAATGAAATCGTATCTCTGCTAAGGTTCGTGTGTTTTAAGAGTTGATGGGTTGAGGCAATGCCGTGGTCGGCACCACGGGGCTCCCTGCAGGGCCGGGGGAGTGGGGATGAGGGGGCGCAGCGAGGAGCGAATGGAGAGCCGCCCAGGCCGAGGCCAGGTGCCTTTCCAGTCTGTCCTCCAGGAGCTGGGTGACTTCTTAGCATCCTAATTCTCTGGAAAGACAGTTAAAAAAGTTGTTTCGTTTCCTAGGACATTTTCGCTGGGACCGTTGAAAGTCGGACAGCACCCGCCTTGCGCTCACCCCGCCGGGATCCGCGGGGACAGCTCCTTTCCTAGGAGGCCCGGGCCCGCCTCTGCGCCGGGACGGCCTGGGAAGCTGCGCAGGCCCCGCCGACTTCCCTTCCCAGCCCCGGCTGAACACTGCGGGGCCCTGTCGGCGGCGGGGCCTGCGGACCCGGGAGCGCGCGGCTGCGCTGCACGTGCAGGGACCCGGCGGCGCCGGGGTCAGCGCGAGCGTTTGATGTGCGGCGGGGAGCGGGCCGGGCCCCGGGAGGCCGCTTCGCACCTCCCCGTGTGTCCGGGTTGAGCGCGAGGTCAGGAGGCGACGCGGAGTTCACGGCGAAGACGGATCGCGGGAGCTCGTCCCGCCCGGGTTGCGCGCAGCGGTGGCCGCGTGATGGATGGGCCGGACCGGGCACCCGGGAACCCGCGAGCGCGGGGCTGGGCTCGGGGCTGGGTCGGGGGGCCCCGACTCGGTTATTGATCGGCCCGAGCGCAGGAGAACTGACTCTATAATGTATAATGCATCGCCTGCCCGGGAAAAGTGTTTGCTTTTGTGGGAGCAAAAGGCAACTTTCTGCCCCGCCAGAGCGTTGCTAAGTGAGCGGTAATGACCACGCTAGAACTTTCATAGGGAGAGGCTAATGGCAGGCTCACTCCAAAAGTGCTTTTATGTGCAACTTCTGTCTAATCCCTTGAGGAGGAAGAAAACATCGGCGACTAAGAAAGTTCAAGTTGTGCAGGGCCTGGGCTTTTAGGGTCGGGGTCACTTCTGCTCTGCGTGACTTTGAAGAGGAGGACCAGTGGATTTCCACACGTGTTTTAAAGAGAACTCCCGGCCTCTGAAATGAAAGGCCCGCCTGTAGGGTTTTGCTGCCTCCCCGCTGCCCACGCCCCACCCCCACAGCCTGGATCAAAGCGAGCAGACAAATTATTCAGAAGTAACACAGCCCTGAAATGTTCCTAACCGTGACTATTTGAGGCGATGGATCAAGCGTGCTTCCCCCGCCCCCAACCCACCCTCAGGCCGAAAATGTGACTCTGGAAACGGACTTGCAGAGCTGGCTTCGGTTTCTGTACGTTTCTGACCCCTGTTGACTTTAGGACAAGGCTTCCTGTTTCCAGGACTGCAGCATCGCCAGACAGCCTCGCCACGCAATCGGCTTTGCAGTTGGACGTTCCAGATATGATTTCATTCCTTACCAAAGATACTTCTTTAGGACAATTTTAGGATTCTATCAACGCTAGCAAAGGAGCTACTTAAACACGTTGATTTGTATCGCTTTCCCTGACAATGAAACATTGAAGGTAGGTAGTTAAGCTCGCTCTGAGAAGTACTTTTCTTCAGTTGCAGAGAGAGAAAGAGAGAAAATTATTTTAGGTTAAAATTTTCCATAGAGAGGTTTACAGAGGGGAGCTGCTGGTGCCCTGACGACTTTGGGGCCTGGGTCAGGGCTGAAGCGTTGAGGCTGTCTGGCTCCTGACCCCTTTCCTGCCCCTGAAAGTGTCTCCCGGGAAGCTGAAGAAGGACTCTCAGGGCTGCTGTGGTCAGGCCTGAGGCTGCCCTCTGAGTCTCCTGGGCAGAAGGGCTTTTAGCTAAGAGCACGTCTAGGCGGGCGTGGTGCTGGGCACTGTTGCCAGGGCAGAGCCTGAGGGGTTACAAAGCCCCAGAAAGTCCACGCACTCCATAGGAGGGCTCTCCCAGGAGAGCTTACAACTTCCAGGAAACGAAATTCCTGCGTAAAAATAAACCATCACACCAAAGCTCCTGGTGCAGCATGACTGATGTGTGTATTGGTGTATACTAATCACTGACAGGCTTCCTTAAACCACTGCCCACACGAGAATTCTAGAGCCATTTCACAGTTTAGTTTCCATAAATGTGAGCATATTTTAGTCCCCTTAAGGTCTCAAATTATAATATTACAAGTTACATTGTACTGTATTTGCTCTGTTGTAACCATCGTGAATGTAGGTTCACGATGGTTGGGGACATCGGGGACATAATTAGTCTTTAGCACTTTCTAGCTCAGTATTTATAATTAAATAATTTGACATAGGTATAAAATATAGCTTCATTTTTTTTATCCACGTGTTGCACTCCAGTTCAAATTTATGAAAGAACAAATTATAAACTTCATTAATTGGATTATTGTTGTTGAACAAATTATTTGTTTTGAGTCATTGGTGGCTAGCAATATAGTATTTTAAAATACATAAATATATTTGAATTTCACAATCTTCCTAGAATAGATTGAATTTCACAATCTTCCTAGATCTAAGTCCAAAGAGAATAGGCTCTTCCTTAAGCTTAAACTATCTGTGCTTTAAAATGAAAACATAAACAAGATCCTGCTTTAGGATTTTACTCGTGGTTCTATCTTAGGCATAGGAGGACTTATTAAAAGGTAAAGAAATCATCATATAGGCTAAAGTGAAAAAGACCAACAATGTCAAACGTTGGTGTGAATATGGAGCAACTGAAACTCTCATACCTGACTGGTGGGAGTGTGAAATTGTGTATTAACTTGGGGAAACTGCTGCAATTTCTTAACAAGTTAACCATACTTAGGTTTTATACCTTATGGCCCAGCAATTCCACTTGTAGGTATTTATCCAAGAGCAATAAAAATGTATGTCCACAAAAGGCCTTATACCAAAATGTTCACAGCAGCTTTATGCATAATAACAAAAAATGAAATCAAACCAGCTATCTAAAAACAGGAGAAAAGATAATCCAATTTTGTTTATCCATCCAGTGGAATACTACTCATCAATAAAAAACTATAAACTCCTGATATACTTCATGAATGGATGGATAGATGGATGGATGGATCTGAAAAACATCATGATGAATAGCCATGAAGCCAGACATGAAAGAGTACATACAATATGGTTTCTTTTATCTGAGGTTCTGGAACAGGTAAAATTAATCCATGGTAACTTAAATCAGAACTGGGAGTACTTCTGGTGGGAGAATTTAGTGTGAAGGGGCATAAAAGATCTTCCTGTATCTTGATAGAAGTATGGGTTTTACAAGTGTATGCATTTGTAAAACTCATTCAACTGCATGCTTAATATTCGTGCATTTCACTGTATGTAAGCCATTCCTCAATATGATATATGAAAAAAGGAAGTCATATAAAAGTCATAATATAACAAAAGAGGAATTCTGGAGTTCTTGTGGAATATGCTATGTCAGAAAACTGCTAAAGAATAAATGGAGTGATTTTTTAAAGACAAGGAATCAGATAAAGGTAAGAATTTCAAAATCAAAGAATGTGTTGAGTGATAGAATTGCAGACTTAATTATTCCTTAGAGTTACATTTTCCCACAATGTGTTGTTTGGCATATTAAAAGGCATTCTATGCAAAATGATTCTATGGTCATAAATTTGGGAAGCTGTAGGTTAAACCAAGTTAAATAGGATTTCTTCCCTAGTACTTCTCAGACCCTGTAAAATGCTAATCCTTAGTGTGGGCCTTGTTTTGGGTTGAATTCTACCTCCCCAAAAGGTAGGTTGAAGTCCTCATACCTGTTGATGTGATCTTAATTGGATATAAGGATTTTGCAGATGTAATTAGTTAAGGTCATACTGGATTTAAGGTGGGCCCTTCGTCATATATGACTGATGTCCTTGTAAGAGTAGGATAGAGACAGTGAGAGAGAGACTAGGGGGAGGATGCCCACGTGATGATGGAGGCAGAGATGGGAGTGATGCATGTATAAGTCAAGGAGGGCCAAGAATAGCTGGCAAACACCAGAGGCTAAAAGAGACAAGGAAGGATTCCTCTATAGGTTTTTGTATCAGTTTCTTCTCGTGCTACTAATAAAAGACATATCTGAGACTGAGTAATTTATAAGGGAAAGAAGTTTAATTGACTCACAGTTCAGGAAACTTAAAATCATGGTGGAAGGGAAAGCAAACATGTCCTTCTTTACATGATGGCAGGAAGGAGAAGTGCAGAGAAAAGGGGCGGAAAACCCCTATAAAACCATCAGATCTCATGAGAACACACCACTATCACCAGAAAAGCATGAAGGCAACCACCTCTATGATTCAATTACCTCTCATCCGGTCCCTCCCGCCACAGGTAGGAGTTATGGGAATTACACTTCAATTTGAGATTTGGGTAGCGACAGCCAAACAAACCACATCAGCTTCAGATGGAGCTGGGCTGTATTGACATCTTGATTTCTGATCTCAGACTTCTAGCCTGCAGAACTGTGAGAGAATAAATCTCTATTGTTTCAAGCCACCTGTCTGTGGTACTTCGTTAGAGCAGACACAGGAACCATACAAACCTCTAGGAAAAAGATGCGATAATCTCACGTTTCCCAGATTGATCTGATCATACAACCTTCTGCACTTTCCATGGCATATCTTGAGTGTTTAGCCAGCCCAGTGTGGTAATCCCTGCCTACTGGGATGGCCTTTCCTTCAACTCTTCATGTTATTCTTTCTTACCTTAAAAGCAGTGTGGTAGGCAGAATGATGGCCCCCAAAGATGTCCACATCCTAGTCCTGGAACATGGGAATATGGGAGCTACATGGCAAAGAGGAATTAAGGGAGCATATGGAGTTATGTTTGCTTAAAGTGGACTTTAAAATACAGAGGCTATCCAGGTGGATCTAGTGTAATCATGAGGGTTCTTAAAAGTAGAAGAGAGTAGTTAAAGAGATTGACAGGGTACTTAAATCAGAAGACAGAATTGGAGATGGAGGAAGGGTCTGCCAGCCAAAGATGGTGGGTGACCTCTAGAAGCTGGAAAAGGAAGGCATGGATTCTCCTCTCTAGCAGACAAAGAATCTCACCCTGCCTACACGTTGATCTTAGCTCAGGGAGACCCATGTTTGATTTCTGACCCACGGTACAGCAAGATGATAGCTTTATGCTGTTTCCAGTCTGTAAGTTTGTGGTAATTTTTTATAGTGGCAGTAGAAAGCCAACATAAGCAGTAAGTGAAATAATTATTTCTTCAATTTTTTAGAAAATTTGACTTTAGATGTCAAAAACTAGAATTTTAAATTTTTTAGAATCTTGTTCCAGAATATTGTCCATATTGCATCAAGTTGTGTCATTTCCTACTCAAACAAAGACTGTCTACATGAATGCTTGCAAACATGACAAGAATAATAACATGTAAAACCATATTTCCCCTGGTGGCTTTTTTTCTTTTCCTGGAAAATATTTCATATATCTGTGGTATGCTTGTAATCTTCCTGTTTTAGATCAACACTTGTGTTTGTGCTGCTATTTTCAGAAGTTTGAGATCATCTAAATCATTTAATGTGATTGGAAGTGTGGTGATGAAGACATGGTGTTGGCTTCCTCTAACTCATCCTGAATTTGCAGCATGATCGTGTTAGAGCTCTTGCTCCAGTAGTCTCCCGTTTCCACCCTCCCCTCCCTCTGCTCCAGGTTCCTTGTGATTTGAGCTCCTGGGTTTCCTGGTCTATACAAAATTCAGCATCTCTGTCTACCAATCATAGGACATAATGGCCCCTGTCTTAGTCCATTTGGGTTGCTATAACAAAAGGCCATAGACTGTGTGGCTTATAACCTACAGAAATTAATTTCTCACAATTCTGGAGGCTGGGTACAGTGCCTGGTGAGGCCCTGCTTCCTCACTGTGTCTTCACATGGCAAAAGGGGCGAGGGGGCTCTCTGGTGTCTTTTTATAAGGACAGGAATTCCAATTATGAGGGCTTCACCCTCATGACCTAATCACCTCGCAAACGTCCCACCTCCTAATAAGATCACATTAGGGTTAGGATTTCAACACATGAATTTTGGGGGGACACATTCAGGCCATTATAGGAATTTGATAGTCCCCATGGTTAGTATCTTACCTAATCAATACCCATAGATGCAAGATACCAAGGCATTTAAATATATTTCACAGAGTTGGGTTTGATAGTCAAATAAAACCATTAGATTCGTAAGGTAAGTGTTAGAAAATTGTAACAACTATTCCCCACCTTCCTTCATGAAGGTAGTGGAAAACAGAAAGAAGTCACCTTGTCCTAAATGCAAATGAATTTCTCAGAAAATTGAAGAGGGTGAGAATAATGCTGTGAACTGATATGCTTCTCAACCTTCCCTCTCTCCCTCCTTCTCTCCCTCCCTCCCTCCCTCCTTTCTTCCCACCTTCCTCATGGCAGAGGAGAGAGTAATTTCCTAGCATATGCAAGCAAAGTCCATGGCAGCCCTGAAAATGAAGACTTTTTTTTTTTTGGCAGAAAATTCATAACGATTTGACATCAGGATTCCAATGTGTCTAGCTGTATGTTAACAAAAAAATAAAGATTCAAGTAACATTAGCTAACTGGCCTGCCTTCCTAGCCCTTCATCGTATTATCTGTATGGCTTGGTTTTCCAGCCTGCAGGTGAGGCTCACCATGTGGCAGCTCCTCTCAGATACACTATCAACCAGGCACCCAATAAGCATGCAATTGAGGTCATTGAGAAAGTGTAGAGAACATGGACACATGCACACATATGTAACCATCCACACATGCACACATATGCAACAATCCACACATGCACACATATGCAACAACCTATACATGCACACGATACGCAGGCAATGCATACGTGGCCTGTGCATGCACACATAGATGCCCTTGGCTCCACTGGATGGAGGAGTAGCTACATTGTGAAAGGCAGAAGAGAAACATTTAGTTGCCCTCAGGTAGGGGAGCAGAATTAACTTGGATGGAGCTCCCCTCTACCTGAGACTCTGGGGAATAAGGTCAGATAGACACACCCATGTTTACTGTGCAGATCTACCATCACTTTTCCCATTGAGGGTGATGCCAGTGGGTCCGTGTTGTTGTTCTTCATTGTTTTCCCACACTTTGTTGGTAGATGGGGTGGAGCCGCCCCTCTTGGGAAACCTAGTGTGCTTAGACATGGCGGGAGTCGTCTCTTCCTGGGCAAGAGGGTGCAGTGACTGTGGGATTAGCCTGTGTATTATTTTTGGGTGTGCACAGGGTGACAAATTAGGAAGGGTGTGCTCAAAGGTTATTCAAATATTTCAAATAAAGCATATTTGAGCATGGAAAGGCCAGGGAACATTAATCAAATGTCAGCACCAAGACACTTTGTAGGCTATTTCTGGTATGTGTTTGCTGAGCGGCAGTCTGGCTTAGGCTCCCTGGGACATGTGATCACCCCAGTGTGAAGAAACGTGGAGCATTATGCATGGGAGGCTCTGGAAGTGCTGGGAATTTGCAGATGGAGTGCAGTGGACAGGATGTGTTCCAAAACAGCCCAGAGTCATTCCTCTGCAGGGGATACAAAGGGATGCACGATTGTGTTGACTGACAAGGCCGGAGTCTATTTCCATTCCTGCCCCTCTTGGGAAGTTAGATTAAAGGGGGAAATATTTTGCATAAAAGTGATTTTCACAGAATAATGACTGAAATGATAATAAGCTGGCGATGGGCATCCATCACAGTAATGAAATAGCCTCCTACAGGAGTCCTGCAACTGGCTGTTTCCCCCCAGAAGCAGTGTTCCCTCTCAACATCACCCTCTTGGATCCTTTCTGATCTGCCTCACTGAGGCTTCCTTCAGAAAGCCAAGCGAGCAAGCGATATTGCCTTTCTCTCCTTCAGCTCCTATCAAAACAGTGCAGCAGCCCCAGTCACAAACTCAAGAGTCTTTTGACAGCAGCAATTAAGCAACTTAATTAATGAGTGAATAAAAACGATAATATTTACTGAATGGGAGCATCCTGTTTTGCATTTTTATTCAAACTCTGCACCTGAAGAACACCACTAAGGAAAGCTCCCCATCCCGCTGTTGTGGAGACACCTCTCTCTCTCTCTTGCTTCTCTCTCGCTTCTCTCTCTCTCTCTCTCTCTCTCTGTCTTCTCTCTGTTCCCTTGCCCTGTCTCTCTCTCTTTCTCTTGCTTCCTTTGGTTCTGGCCTCATAAACACCCCAAGGATAACATACGTAGTGTGAGATAGACACAAGGCTAATCCCTGCCCTCCTTCCAGGGGGAATACACTTCTTCTATCTTTGTCATGGTCTTTGTTCACCCCTAAAAATCCTCATTCATACATGAAGGACAATTTCATGATACTTTTCTGAGGCTGAACTTTACATCAAAGTGGGTGATTAATTACTGATAAGGGTATAATAAAACATTAATGCATTTTGTAATTAACCAGCTTAGGAGTGACATCTCCCATCTCTTCATGAGTGACATGTTCACACGCACACACACACGTACACGCAGAACTTTTTTTAAAAAAATTCTTTATTTGGCTATTAATCTCAGCAGTGCCCTCAATACATTACATTCTTTTTAAAAGCCACATATATTTTCCTCAATGAAATATCTAATCCATCTTGAGTGTAAGGAAAGCCCGTACATAATTATTCCGTCGTGACAGACAGTGAGCTTTCTCGCCATTATTTTTGACGGTGCTGTCATGGATGCCAAATGTATGTTGTGGTGGGAGCCAGCCAGCGTCGGGAACCCACCTGGAGAGCGGCTCCTTTCTTCTCTCGGAAAGGTTCCCCACGCCTGACAGCCCCACCATTCTGGTTAAGCTTAATTAGTCAAGAGAGAAAAAGAACTGACTTCAGAGTGTTGTGTTACGTTTGGGGCTCCCCCCTTTTTTCCCCTTTCCACTCAAAATTTGACATTCTTTGGAGAAGATGAAGTTCCAAGTGGGATCTGTGTTGGCACTTCCCACCCTCTCGTCATCCTCACGTGGGACCCACTTCTCACCGCCCATCTTTTGTCTCCCAGGGCAGCACTTTGTGGACTCTGCCCAGCCCACACAAAGGACGTAGGACTCTGCACTGGCAGAACTGGATGTATTGTTGCCTTGAGAGACGTTCATTTATTTCAGTGTGAAACCCGTTAAAATGGAAGTGTGTAGGATTTGGGTTGGCTGGATGCAAGCTTCCTCTGCAGTGGGATGAGGTACACTGGGCCCCCGACATTCAGAGTCCCCCACTTTCATGCCCCTTGGCCTCTCAGGCCTGTGCCTTTCCATATGCATACTGGCCTTGGGCAAGCGACTTGTCCTGGCCAAGGGGACAGGAGTCACATCCATACTTGCCGGCTTTAAAAATGTGCTTTTGTGTTTCCACTTGCTGTCCTGGAGGCTGCCACTACCAGGAGCATGCTGGCCTGCCTGCGGGAGGAACAGATGCCAGAGGAGACCTGAGTGTGTCCTCAAGGCCATGCCCCATCAGCCATCCCAGCAGAGCCCACAGCCGCCTGCAGAGGAATGAGGCCCCCCACCCAGGATTGCCAGAACCACACAACTGACTCGCAACTGTGTGAGGAGTAATGGACAAAATTTTGAACTGTGAGCCTTTGGGCCTGGGGAGGTTTGTGATGCAGCAGTAGCTCCCAGACCCTTGAAGCTCTTCCGCACGAAGGTGCTGAGCCGTGCACCTAGGCAATGCCAGACTCTGCACTAGGCCCGCCGGGGTGTGCAGAGAGAGAGAGCTGAACAAACTGCGGTTCCACCCAGAAGACCCAGAAGAACATTCACTGAGCAGCCAGTGCAAGAGGTGAGAGCGCATGCGTGGAGACGCTCACGCTTGTGGTGTAGAAAAGGAGGCCAGAGGCTCCCAGACCATGATTCCTTTCCTTTAGGTATTTCTTGCGCATTTTCAATCCTAAATCTCTTCACATATTATGGAGATCTCTGATTGAATGTCCCCGTTTCCCCTTAGACAGCAGGCCCTGTGTGAGTCACCACCTCCATCTTCCTATGTCCTGGGTGTGGGCTCAGTGAAGGACAGTTGTGGAAATTTAGAGAGAAGAGGTCGCAGGGGTGGTGGGGGCGGCGAAGCTTCAGAGGAGAAAAGAAGCGTGGTGGAGAGGGCAGACTCTGGAAGCCACTGCAGAGCTCTCCCCCAGGCTATGAGCAGGGCATGATGGTCCCAATAGCCTGCATCTGTGTTCATTTCAACTGGCTGTCTTGTGACAAGGAAGACGGGCCAGGTTCCCAGTGGGAAATCTACGGTGATCATTAAGAGTGCAGGGCCTGAGATGAACCCTAGCAGGTGAAAGACACCTGGTTTTGTGCAAGCTGGTTTTGCAGAAGCCTGTGGGAGGGGCCCCAGGAGGAAGGGAGCAGAGGGCAGTGTTGGCTCTGGTTCTCCGACCAGGCAGGTGGGCTAGCACCTGGGTGAGGAGCTTTGCATCTGGAGCCGGACATGCCTCAGTCCGGATCCTGCCTTTATCAGCTTATGAGCTGTTACCTGCCAGTGGATATGACGAGGACTAAATTAAGGAAAGTGATCAAGTCATCTTCGTTCATTGCCCACCACAGAGCAGGCACTCAGTGGAGGGCACTCACCACCATCTATGCTATTAATGCTGTGTCTGCGGCCCTTGGTTTTCTGGAAAGACTTGAGAGTACAGGGGCAGGTTAGGGACCACAACCAGGAAGCAAGACATATCTGACAGAATGCATGGGAGCTTATGGAAGGATGTACAAGGCCAGGTGTGGGGATCCCGGCATTTCAGGAGGCTAAGATGAAAGGATCACTTGCATCCAGGAGTTCAAGCCTAGCCTGGCAACATAGTGAGACCCCCGGCTCTATGAAAAATCAAAAATCAACTGGGCATGGTGGCATGTGCCTGTAATCCAAGCTACCCAGGAAGCAGAGATGGGAGGATCGCTTGAGCCCAGGAGGTTGAGGCTGCAGTGAGCTGAGATCATATCACTGCACTCTTTCTGGGCAACAGAGTGAAACCCTGTCTCAAAACAAAACAAAACAGTGAAACCCTGTCTCAAAAAAAACAAAACAAAACAAAAACCAAGAATTTACAAGAGGACAGTTTTAGTGGTTGAAAAATCATTCACTCATTCCAGGAGCAAGAGCCTTGTGAGTTTTCTTCCTGTTCTTGCCTGGGTTATCTCTACTGAATCAAAGACTCCTTGTTAGGAATGCTCTGGTGGCATCACTCAATGTGTTTATAAATCATTTGATTTTACAATGGAAAAAGATACCACAAAACAACACAGCTGTAGTGCAGGTACAGATGACCATGGAACGGCAGCCTGGCGTTTTCAGTAGAGCATTGGGCAGTAGAGTCCCTGGGCCTCGGAACCCCGGCCCATTACTACCCAACGCCATCCCTGGGCAAAACGCCCAACTTCCATCAGATCCATGAATGGAAAATGGGCATAATTATAACTGTGCCGTGCTCTCTATCTCTCAGCTAAGGTGAGAAACAAATATGAGGATGCTCAGTGAAAATGCTTTGAAGTCTGTGAAATGTGAAGCAAAGGTGAAGCGCGAGGAATAATAAGGCTCTAAGGACTCACACTTGAGCATTTGCTCTGAGCCGGCCCCTGTCCTCCACACTGAACCTACAGCCTCTCTTCTCACCTAATCTGCACAAAAATCTTATGAAGCAGACACACTTACCATGCTGGCCTTTCCGTGAAATTTCAGGTCTTAGTGTCGCCCATTACCAGTGGCATTTCATGCCACAAGTTAGGCCGTCTGCACCTCCAAGCACAGGGTCACAGAAGACTTAATCCAGTCCCTTGGGCTGACTCAGTGGCTGGTTTGGGTGAACCCCTGTTGTCCCCTTGAGCAACTCGAGGGCAATGGTTATGGGTAGGGCTGAAAAATCCGTCTGGCTGCAAACCTGGTACTGATACAAACAAGGCCGAGACAGGCATTAAGTGTTCTGTGTTTCCCAAAGAGATCTTAATGAAATCCCAGCATACCTCTCACTCCTACCCTTAAAATACCTTGGGCGAGAGCATGCTTTTGACCCCACCCCAGTCATTTGGATTGAGAAATTCCATTGAAGATGCACAGCTTTCCTCCAGTGCAGGGGCTGGGTATCCAAATGCAGAGCCTTCTCCAGACTCTTTGGGCTTAGTCTGGCTTGGTAGGCTCAGGAGGGAGTCAAGATTATTTCATCCTTTATGTCTGTTCGATGACAGTTTATCATCATTGCCACCTCATCCTCTATTGTAGCCAAACCTCACAACCAGTACCACGTGAACTTCGTCACCGATGCCACGTTCTTTTTCTCGGCTGTCACTAAGCTCAGGTCAGGATGGCCCTCCCAGCTGACTTCCCTGATACTTTCTGTATCTCCTTTTCAGTCTGCCCTAAAATGACAGCTGGACTTCCAACAGTGGTTTCTTCTGTGGGACACATGGCTCTTATACTCTGGGCGGCACTGATTCCTTTATTACCAGTGGCTTGATTTTCCCGGATCTATCTCCATGCAGACAGTGTGAGGTTGGACTTCATGCCTCACGTTCCTGGTTGGGGCTCGGAGATCTACCCCAGCTTGCTGCTGTGCCGCCCCCAGTTTACTCAATGCCCAGCCTGCAGCTCCTAAGTTGAACCTGCACACTGCACGCTCACCTGGTCTGTGCTTCCAGCTGCATTGGAAATGGAAGCATTAAACACAGTTCTCCACTGCCAGCCACCTGCTAGCTAATGAGTGACATCATTTAACGCTGTTTTGAAAAGAGAGATTTAAAGTTGTTTTGAAAACTGAAGGAAAAATACAAATGTTTGAGTGTTAAACATTTTGCCCAAATACTAAAATGTGAATGTCTTTTTATTGTGACAGTTCTACAGGAAAGCGGGCTACAGCATGCCTGTGCTTGTCAATGAAAATCTTAGCACTGAGTTTGGTAAACATTATGGCAGTCAGGAAGCCACTTAAAAATAAAGTTTAAAGAAAAGAAAGAGAAGTATTCACTTTCCTTCTAATTTCCCCAGATACACTCAATATTCTGCTTTATTTTTTAGTATTTTAACTAAAATAAGAAAACTCGGATTCGACTTCTATGTGTTCTATGATTGTTGTTGTTTTCTCTGACTATAAAATACATGTTTGCAGCAGAAAACTTGGCAAAACAGAGATATGAAGAATAAAACAAAAATCACCTATAGTTCTAAGCCATGGGAATAATCCTATATATATTTCCGAGGTATTCTGAAGCATGTGTATTATAGTCCAAATATTTAAAAACAAAATTTGGATAATACTTTAGATAGAGAGTTGTATTCTGATTTCTTCTATTAATATTATAACTTTCAAACGAGGGACTTACATGGCTTTTATTTTTCTTTACTATGTAAGTACTTACGTTCTTTATGAGAAAAATAAAAAATATAGAAAAGAAAGATAAGAAAATAAAATCAGTAATAATCCCCTCACTTAGAAATGACTGCTGTTAACATTTTAGTTTTTTGGTTTCTACCTATTTATATTCAATTTGAATGAAAACAGTATAATTTCACTGTGTCTATATTGCTTGGTAACATAATGATTCAACTGTATAATAAATAGTATATTACATGAATGTTTTGAGTAATAGTCTGTGTGATAATTTTTATTAGGTGTATGGTGTTCCACTACATAAATGTATCATAGTTTACTTCACAAATAAACTCGTATCAAATACTTATGTTGTTGTTAATCTGTGATTTATAATGAAGCTATAAACATAACTTTTAGCTAAATATTTACGGATACCCTTCATTATTTATTTCCTACATAGTAGAAGTAGAATTTTATGGTCAAAGGATGAAGACATGATTTTCTTACATTCAGGAGATATTCAATTATATGGCTCTACCATAATTTATTTATTATTTTTATTTATTTTAATTGAGACAGAGTCTTGCTCTGTCGCCCAGGCTGGAGTGCAGTGGTATGATCTCAGCTCACTGCAACCTCCACCCACCAGGTTCAAGCAATTCTCCTGCCTCAGCCTCCCGAGTAGCTGGGACCACAGGCGCACACCACCACACCCAGCTAATTTTTGTATTTTTAGTAGAGATGGGGTTTCTCCATGTTGACCAGGCTGGTCTTGAACTCCTGACCTCAAGTGATCCACCTGCCTCAGCCTCCCAAAGTGAGCGGCATGAACCGCCATGCTTGGCCTTACCATAATTTATTTAACCATCTTTTCCTCTTCTGACATTTAATATATTGCAATGAACATCCTTGTACCAAATTTTGGTACTGATTATAGATTGTAAGTGTAATTTTCTTGAAGGGAATTATAGGGCAAAGAAGAAGAAATGAAAAGTTAAAGTGGAAATTCCCAGGTTGCCTCCCTGTAGAATGGGAGTAATCAGACAACTTATGGTAGCGTTGCTGTCCAGACATGGGCCTGGCACACAGTGTGTTCCTGTAAACGCTGCACTCAGGTTCTCATCCTCACAGCTGCACCTGGAGCCCCGGTTCATGCAATGCTAAGTTGCTGTTTTACCGTGACTTTGAAGCACCAAAAGAATAAATGAAAGAAAATAGCTGGTATCTCAAAACAAAATCAGACTGTGCACAGAAGTCGCGCTTGCAACATGGAGCCACCAGAGTTCTGAATCACGGCCCCAGAGCTGCCACTCCTCAGCTCACTGAGCCATTTTCCCCTTCTATAAAATAAAGGGCTTGTGCTAAAGAATTTGAGGTGCCCTTTGGCTCAGGAATTCTATCTTCCCATGAGTTGTGAATGCTTTTTAAAGACCTCCTGAGTGTCCAGGCATCTCAGTAAACACAGTGATCATCTGGGTCTGATGAAATAAAAATAAGTTATTTCAGTATTTTTACCTTTGTTTCTGTTTCCGTGAGAAGTACGAGCTATCAAATACTCCATCCTACTGATTGTATGAAATAGAATGAATGGCTTGGAGGGTACCTGATTAAATAATAGGTGTGTGGGCTGGTGATGAAGATCAACAGAAGGGAGAAGAGAAATAAAAAAGGGTGTTCCATGGAGAAAGGTGAGGTGATAAAAGAAGCTGCTTGACACAAAGAGACTTCTGTTGGTTGCCATGGTCATCAGTCTTCATTTGAGCTCCAGTGTTAGTGAGTTTTACTCATAGCACTTTTAGGTCACACACTCATCAGAACCATACACAAGTTGACTTGTGGAATTTAAAGTAAACATTTAGGTGCAAAAGAAGCAGAAGCAAAGTGCAAGTTTCTGCACTGACATAGAGTGTCCACACCATCGATGCTGCGGCTTGGGCATCTGATGACCTCCTTCACCCAGGCCATCCAATTCTGTGGCCTACTGGGACTGGGAACTTGGGAACTTAAAGGAAGGCTCTGGAGACTTTGCAGGACAGTGATGCTATCAATGATGAGAGTTTGGCATCTTCACAACAGAAAAGGTCTCACAAGAAGTCATCAGGTACTGAAAAACCATGCCAATAACACTACGGTGTGGCATGTTCTGGCTCTTTGGCATTCCTCTTCCTCAGATGTAGCTTCCTCTGCACAGCTTAACCAAGTGCAAGAACGGGTTGTGTGGCAGGCTCTGCTGTCAGATGCCGCCCAGGTTTTAGAGACAGAGAGAATTGTGACCTCAAGAAGCTCCATGCTTAGTAGGGAGGTAGACACATCAACTGATAATTGCACAATCACATTTCATCTAGTGGATGCACATAGATAGGATTATAGATACTCTTTTGACTTGATCCTCTCATGGTAACTTCAATGCTTGAAAACATGATCTGCAAGGTCAAACGATGACAGTTCTCTGGAGATTTTGGGATTTGCCGAAGTCCCTTCTGTGGGTTTTCTCTGAAGGGTGACATCGTCTCCCTGGATCTCTGTGGTGGGCCTCTAACATGCCTTTCAGGAGAAGGTCTTCAGGCCATGTGAAGACACAGGAGCCTGGCAGACAGTTTTAAAACTCTGGAAAGAAAAGAGCAGACACTGTTCCACCTTTCTTCACGGTGTAGGCTGGGTGGGGCTGGGTCGGGCTGGGGTCTGGGGACAAAGGCAAAGGAATTCCGTCCTTTGTGCAGGTCGCTTCACTCTGGCAGAAACATCACATCCTGCCCTTGTCACCACACGTCTCTGTCCACAATTACTCATCATCTGTGGATAGACAGCCCTGGAGGAGATCATCAATTGCCAATGCAATTCAGCAGATACACTTCATAAATTTTAATTACATTCCCACTGAAAATGAATGGTCAGAAAATATAAAACATCTGCCATCCAGATCATTTACATTTTTCATACAATAAATCATCAACAACATCCCAAACCATGGCTTAAATCATGTGAGTGTGGTAGGTCATGAAGAAGGAATGCCATCCATCGTGCGACAACTATTTGGATCTCAGCCCTTCCTCGGATGCGGGAAGCAGGGCAAGGAGGGGGAGACCCAACAACTTATTGATGAGGGGGAGAGCATTGTGGCCTAGTTCTCATAAATATAAGTTCCCAGGTCATATCTCAAACCTGCTAATTGATCTATTTACTATTATTTTGGCCATAGTAAAACAGGGACCAAAATGAGTAAAAGAATATTTGGCCAATTATAACTGTGAAGAGCAGGCATTTATCACCATGTGGCTTATTTATCTAACTTGCAAGTAGTATAAGAAGGATGTCGCATTTTCAAAAATCAATTTTTATTAACATTAGATTCATAGAACTCCCATTTGCCTGTAAGCATCTTCCGTGTCGTAAAGCACGGTGTGGGCATTCATGTGCTGCTGGCCTCCCTCGCGTTCCTTGGGAAGACAGGCGTCTACACTAAGGACAGAGGGGCCTCTGAGAGACCTAGAGCCCAGCCAAGGGGGCCTGAATCGCACGGGCTGCAGACAGGACACACCTGCAGTGGAACCCTGTACAAGCGCCCTCGGCATCCTGAGTGGGGGCCTGCACAGCTGCCTGAGGAGTTCTTCAGGGCTTTTCTCCATGCATTGTGAGTTTTCCTTTTTCTGTCTCTTTTCTAAACGCTTCCATCTCTATAGACTGAGAAGCGTGATTGGGAGCCCTCACTCTCCTCCCGAAGGCTCTTTTGCTGGAGTCTGGAGAAAGGCTTCTCACATGCAGTCAGGGACATGCTGTGCAACTCGAGAGTTGGTGGGCAGGGATTCAGCAACTGAATCTGAGGAGTAAGTGCAGATGGAAGCCGCTGGCTTTCTGGGATTCTTGATATTAAATTCCACAAGAATAATGAAGACAATGACTTGTTAAGGTCAAAGAAATATTAATTCAATGTTTTTATTTTACTGTTGAAGACACTGAGACCCATAGAGGAGAAGTGACCTGCCCACAGTCTGTTGCAGTCACCAGCACTCTGCGGTCAGAAGCTGTCCCTGGTGGCTGGGGGACGCACCAGCTCTTACTCTCCTTCTGCACTGGTCCAGCTGCCATCGGCTCTTCTGACTAAACTGTGTCTTTACCACAAAGCGTTCATGTCTGAGTGGTGCAGAGTTGAACTGAGAAGTATAGGAAAGTGATGTAAGATAAGGTCCACCTGTCAGTAAAACAACCAGAACTGTCTGTGGAATGGTGCACCATGGAAACCAGAGAATGCAAAACAGAATCCTACCGTGAGTGCTATTTAGAGGTGCGAGGCGCTGGACTGGCAGCACGAGGGGCTGCACGCCCACCCTGTGGGCTCCTCACCCTGACGCAGTGCCCTCTCGTCTTCTACACAAGGATGCCACAGACAGGCATCTCCTCACTGTCCCTTTGACTGTTTGGGACCATGCTGTCCAAAATTTAACACACAATTGAGCTATTTTCCTGTCTCCTCGACTCTGCATCCTGGATCTGGCCAGCATTTCTCTCCCCTGCAGGGTACAGCTCCTTTGGGCGTGGTCTCAGGATCCCCACACAGGAGGACTGACCTTGCCGAAGGCCTGGCAAGGTGTTCCTGGGCCTCTGCCCACAGGCATGTTATACCTGGTGCCTTCCTCTAGGTCCACTCAGAGGTCAGGTTGTAGAGCTAGACATGCCTTTCACAAGCTACTTTTGCCTCTCCCTCTAAATACAAGCTGAGATGCCTGGTGGTTTCAAACAATAGAGATGATCTCGTGTACATGAAAACCTGATAAAATCATTAGAAGATGTCATTCAAAGTTAATGGGCAATTTTTCTCTCTAGGGTAGGTAATTATTTTGGTGGGCATATTTTTGAAAAACAAAATCTTAAAGTTTACTGACCAGTTTTTTTGTTGTTGTTATATTCTATTTCCAGTAAAGATGTTCTGGCTGACTAATGTTCTCTTTTCGGATTCAATTGGACATGGTTCTCCAGTGTTTCTTGGCTCTAATTACCGTGGAATGTGCCTGTGAGTTGTCCAACAGCTGCCACATCCTTGTTAAGGTTAGCTGCTTTTGAAAGTTAGTCCAAAGTTAGATATCTTCAGAAAAAGTGAGCTGGAAGTTGCCATATTTGTCTAGATCATTAAGAATGAGATCTGGTAAAAGTGGGTCTGAATTTCAGATAGAGATTTCCTTTCCTGCTTGAATGGAATTGAAAAGAATGCAATTGATTTGGTATTAGCCTATTTTTGCTTCCTGAAAAAAAAAGTTTTCCACTGTAACCATTTCTGACAGTTCTAGAATTCTCTAGAAGACCAAGGGTCCTATATGCCTAACAGACA